CCTCCAACCCTCGCACCATGTCCTCACAGCAGAGCTGCTCCAGCCTTTGGGTCATCCTCGTGGCCTCCTGGACTTGTTCTAGCTGCTCCAGGTCTCTCTTGTGATGGGGGCTCCAGTATTCCCTCCCCCCATGCCATATTCACTCCCCATGCTGGTCTCAGTAACTCAGGGAGACACTGACTTGTTTAATGAACTCGGGGAGAAACATTTACACCACTAGTTGAGTCACTCAACTGTAGTATAGTCAGCTGATCCACTCAACTGACATTGCTGTTTATCTAAAACAAAGGCCACCCTCTGGTCCCCTTTGTGCTGAGATAAAGTCAGCTTCTTTGCACCAGCTGTGGTCAGTCACACTCCTCATTATTCCCCGAGCTTCATGGGCACGTTGCCCTTGCTCATCTCCACTGACCTGCCTTGTGTTTGGGGGGTTTATAGATCAGTTGCTGTAGTAGAACGATCATCAAATACAGCCTTGGGTGAATTTGCAGAAAAAAAATTGAAGCCAGCAGACCCTGTTTAGTCTAGACATTTTCATTCTTTGGATATGTTGTATTTTTATCAGTATTTTTAATTTGCTTTTTATTGTACAGTAGGCATGGCATGAAGAGGTAGGAAGATGTCACATAGTGTGTCCAGGCTCCAGGTTGGCATAAATACATACTTAAGTATTCTATGCATCATATAAAAAACCACTTTCAATTCCACATTTAATGCATTTCTAAGCACACAGGCATTTATTAAATTGGAGAGGAGAAACAGACTGGAAGTTAAAATTTCTCAATGTAATTCAGTTTTTGTAATTGGATATACAGGGTACAGAGTGAAAATAACATCTGAGTCACTATTGCAGTGAGGTGAAACTCATTTCACATATCCAACTGTGCTGCTGTGAACAGCTCTGCTGATATCTTTCTGCTATCACTGTGCTACTTAGTTTGGTGTTGAGCAGAAGGGCAGAATAGCAAGCAAATGTTTCCACTATCCTGGTGTCAGTATTTTTTCAATATTTGTCTTAAATGATACACTGGCTAGAGTTGTTGCTGTGACTTTTCATTGTTATGGGAGTGATGATGTTCTCACATCTAACACAGCTTTCAAAAGTACATTTTAAATGTTGAAAATTCTTGAACTTTAAAATTGATAAATGCTAGTTTAGAGCAGTTCAGTACTAATTCTGCCCCTTACTGTATCTCCAGAAAGAGGGGAAAAGTATAAATGTATTCAGACTTCATATTGTAATGCAGCAATGGGTACAAAATAAACATTGTATGGACAGCTTTGTTATGATACAGCCTGTCTGGCAGATGTTACATTTTGTAATCTCAGTTTCCTTTGCATGCAGGGTTTTTCTAAGTTATTTTCTACTTATTTAAAAAAAAAAAAAATCGCTTTTTTTTTTTTTTTTTTAAATGCCTCATAGGAATCTCTTCTCTGCATGGTGGCCAATTTCAACCATACTTGACTGCAGGACAGAGGTCTCACAGTTCTCATCGCAGTCAGTAAACTGGGTAGAAAAGGAAAACCTGGATCAGTGTGCACCACCTCTGTACCCTCCAGGTACAGCGCTCGAAGGTGGAAAGTCTTATCACGTATTTGCCAGGCTCACACAACCCATGTGGCCTGCTCCTGGGTGAACGAGCTCGTGCTCTGTTCAGCCAGCACAGGAGATGTGGGCAGATGCAAACAACACTCATCATGCCTTAGGAATCGGGTAGCAAACTGGAGCTGTTATGTGATGAGACCAAGGACAAGGCTTGAGATGGTGTGTCAGGAAATAGGAGGGAGGCGAGGAGAGGTTGCTGGGGCCGGTCTGGGTGTATATGGGTTATGTGAGGCTAATCATGGGGAAACTGAGCTTTGACCCTGTTGCTTACAGAGGAATTAGTTTGCTCTTGTTGGCCGCTCTGCCAGCTCCATAGGCTTCCATGATATGCATAATTTCTTTTAAATAGCATCATCCAAACCCTACACAAACAAAACCACTCAAACTTAATTTTTTACTTTTTCTTGGTCAGAAATAGTTCTCCTCCAATTCTTCTCCTTGTTGTTCCCCATTAGTATGGGGAAGGGGACCAACTGAAGTATATATGGGACAAGGGTCAAATATAGAATCACAGACTGGTTTGGGTTGGAAGGGACCTTAAAGCTCATCCAGTTCCAAACCCCCTGCCATCAGCAGGGACACCTTCCACTAGATCAGAGAATATATAACCTTTTAAGATTGGCTTTGTATGATACAATTATGGGTCATATAGTATGATTAAATTGTGCAAATTGACAGTTTTCCTTATATCATTACAGTAGTTAAAATACAAATTTTTAGAGTAGTTTTTTTCAGCAGAAGGTGATTAAATTGGGACAAGAACATCATTTTGAACATATGGAGAGCCTGAAACTGGTTTTGGAGATATGATACCTCTGTCCTCTACTGTCACTACATAAAATTATGGCATATCAGTTAGGAGTTTTATTTCCTTGCTATTCAGTTCAGTAAATTAAAAGGCTATAGGAAAGAGAGGCATTGAGGAGCTGAACATTTGGAAATATTCCACATGAGATAATCTGAAGGGTAATTGGGATAGGAAAGGACAGGACAGCAGTGACAGTTGCAAACCAGAGATGAGATGTTTTTTCCCCTTTGTATGGTCTGTTAGTATAATACACTTAACTGCACTTAGGGTTTAGCTGGTATTTTTAGTGGAGGAAACACAATCTTAATTATAGTGCATGCACTGGGAGTATAATGTTAAAGTGAAATGTAATGTTTTCTGTCCTGTGTATGAGACAGTCCCATCAGGTTTTTGGTTTTCTGTGTGTTTTTGTTTTGTTTTTAAAAACAAAACCCCAACAAGAAAGGGTACATTAAAGGCATGTGAATGGCTGTTTCTGAACTGCAGAAGCACAGCTCAACGTGGGTCAGGTGACAACTGTTAATACCCAAAAATACCTAGAAGCTATAGTGTTTGGCTGAAATTTGCATTATGGTTCTCTGTCAGTTGACCTCCTTTCTGAATTGCATTCCTACAATGACACTTCAAAGTTCCTGCTTTTTTTGAGGCTATTTTATTATTTAAATATTGCTGTTTCTTGCCTTCCAGGCTTGTTTGTCTGACATACCTGGTTTAGGTCACTTGGAGATAGAGCTTTTCAGATTACTTTATTTTGTTTATTTCATTATGTAGAGGTCTTCAGTATGAGCTGCTGTAATACTGTTTTGTCGTGTGGTATTACTCAGTTACCTGTCACCTTCTCTGTTTATTTGCAGAGAATAATTTCCATGTAATAGTTCTGAGTTAAACTACAAACCTAGAGTGAATTTTGTAAATAATAGCAAATTCGGGAACAGTCACACTTGTTATAAACATACACCTCTGAAAACCGATTTCTAATCTTTTTCACACTAGAGGGCACTAACATCTCGTGGAAGTTAAGCCCTAACAGGTTTTTATTCTCTCTGTAACACTTGGGTATTGGGTAGTCTTGCTGGTTTTGTAGTGGATGCTAAAGGTTTCCATTTCTTTGCAGCCTTTTCTCTGTAGAAATGAAAACTAAAAGTGATAGTATTGTTGCAAAGATACATCAAAAGTTAGTGTGTGGAGTTTTCCTTTGTGTAGTTTTTTTTCTTCACTAAATGATAATTTAGGTAATTCGTGGAAAAATGGATAAATTCCACTTGTACTCTTACATTGCTTTTATTGTGATAATTTTCACTTGAAGGTGGTAAATGGGCATTTAAGGAAATTATTGGATAACTTCTTACGAGAGCTATCTAATAGAGTTGCCATGTGGAATATATTTCTTGAAGTTGTTAATCACAGGAAAAGAATCATGTGAACTGATGTTGCAGGCCTAAATTTCAGTTAGGGTTAATGTATGCATTTACATATTGATACCTGGCATATAGAAAATAGTATGGAAAATAACATGGAAGTCTATACTGCCAGTAAGTAATGGCAACAACCTTCAGCTGTTTGTCTTATGACGTTTTTAAGTAGATAATTTTAGACTATGTGTTTGAATCTAAAGTTTGGACCTCAAAGTGGTGTAACCATTTTGGAAGTACTTTATTTTGTTGTTACGGATTTTAGATACTAAATCTCACTTAAAACAGGTGAATAAAATGGCTGCTGATGACTTTTTGCTCTTTGTAGGAATGGTTATTCAGTTGCCTTGGAGATGATCCTGCTGCTGTAAATGTAGGGCCGAAGATTAATGGTGTGGGCAGTATGGACCTAATGAACGGACAGTCAAGCAGTGTTAATATTGCAGCTACGGCTTCAGAGGTAAGGATTACAGTTATTGCATACATAAGACTGTAAATAATTTTTTTCTGAATGCACCAAAAAGTAAGATTTTTCATTTAACAGATGTAGTGCAGCAGATTCTTATTTTGTATGTTAGTTTCATATGCCCCAGTGGAGATGGAAATAACTTAAAGTTCTGACCTTTGTATACCAAAATAAAGCATGAGCTAGCATTTATAGCCTTGCCATAGCCAAAGCTGCCTCTTTTATGTTCCCTTCCATCACATCTAGACAAGAAAGCTTTTTTTTTTTCCCCAGGTTTTAACAATACTAGATGCTCTTAGGGCAGTAAACTGGGCTGGCAAGGCCTGTGGGAAATGTTCTCTTCTTTGACATACACTTGTGTGTGTGTGTGTGTCCAGGGGCGGTCTGACATGGTAACACTGGGATAAGGTTGTTCCCTTTGTCTCTAGGACTATATTCAGGGATTGATATGGGTCCCCTTCTGCCCACCAAAGTTTCTGCCCTCTAGCAGTGAGCAACTCATGAGTTAGAGTATGTTTATAAGCCAAGCAATGGAGATTGGCTTCCTATGCTGATGCTTCTTATTTTGAAGTTAATACAGTTTCCATTTGTCATCTACTTGTTAAGGAAAAGAAGGGGCAAGGTGAAGCTAATATCAGAACTTTTTGAGTTCTTCTTGCTGGGATCATGTGAGGAGATGTTGAGAGTTGTGACTGATTCCTGAATTCTGAGCAACGCTGGAGAGTTTGCAAGACCTGATTGTTTTGTTGTTGGGAGGTTTTTGGGGGGTTTGTTTGTTTGTTTTTCTTAAAACTCTTGCCAGTCACTCCCTCTTCAAGTTTTTGTTGGTTTTGGTTTTGTTTGGGTTTTTTTTAATGCCTTGTACTACTGGGATGAAGGGAACTGAAAATCTGCCTTCAGTGTATATTGAGTGATCTTTCAGATGCACTCTTTGCCTTTCTTCTTTAGAGTGACTGAATATATGCTTTGGCTTCTACAGGTGTACAGCACTACCCTATGTTTCTGCTCAGGGGAGGCAGTTAGGTTGTTGCTTCCGCCCCCCCCTTTCATTCTTCATCTCTCTTTTGTTTAAAAGACAAGGTATGCAGGAACACTACAAATCAGTAGTGATGAGAGCCACAAAGTCCTGAAAACAGTTGCTTCCTTGAATGAATCTTGGGACCTTACCAAAGGTGTTTGTTTTATTTATATACTTACATATGTGTTTTGTTAGCAGAGCTGCACGTTTGCTATGCACTTGCACGTGCATAAGGAAATGGAAAGTCCCACAAACAAGGTGAAAGGAAAATTAGAATCAAAAGAAATCAAATAATCTCCAGCAGAATTTCATAAGTATTGTCAAGATTTAAACAAAACAACTGGCATCAGTCTTCAAGACCATTGTTTTTTATACAGATTCTTGTAGTTCCCTTATCACTGTAGCATGAATCACTGATTGACTATTCGTTGGCGTGCAACTGAAAACGTTTTGGAGGAAAGCTCTCTTTTTACTCAACAAGATAGTCTTGAATGTTTACATGATGTCTGATAAAATTGAGGAAAATATATTTTGGGAAAGTTACCACGTGCTGAAAGCAGATTCAAGTATTTTTTTCCTATCTTGACTAACCAGGAGGAGGGAGGACTTGTAACTGGAATGTTTCAGTAAGTATTTTGGTTACTGAAAATGCCTGTCTGGTTTGGAGTTTTTGGTGGTGTTTTCAAAGTCAGGTTTTTCAGAGAGATGGTATTGTTAGAAGGACCTAACTAAAACTGAGTGTGATTATTAAATGAGTATGTATTTTTTTTATATATATATCCTTATAACAGAAGTGCTTAAAAATGGACAAGAGTTGATTTCAGCTGACTGAATTCTCAAGGAGTTCAAATGTTCTTGTTTCTGTGAGTGGGAAGCCAAAGTCAAAATATGTAGTATAGCCTTACAATACTGCCTTGTTAGATTTTCAGGAGAAGACATTAGCACAGTAGAACTATTTAGCAGCATCAGTGACCGTGTGCTATCTTCCCCCCTGCCTTGGCATCAGCAGACGTGATGCAGGTGTTACTGAGAGTACAGTGTAACAGTGCTGAAATTTGGCTTCCACCAGAAGCGATGTGGTGAAGGGCTCATTCATGTCTGTGTTGTGTATATGACCCATATCCGTGTCTTGAAAACTTTCAATGTTAGCAGTGAAATTACACGAACAGTCAGAAAGTACCTTCCTTGTGTGGGCCAGAGTCTAATCTTTGCAACTTTCTAGGAGGTATCCCTCAGGATGGTGGTTAGGATAGAGTGCTTGAGAATACATCTGTCTCCAGTGTAAGACAGACGGGTCTTGGTTTGTGCTCGGTGTCTTTTGCCACAGCTGAGCTGGAGCTCCCAGCAGCGGTAAGAATGAGCTCTGTGCACCAGTACTAGTTTTCTTTCTCTTGAATCAATCCAAACAAAGTATTAGTAAAACTGTTGTGGGAGCTCTGTTATCACTTACATCAAGGTTATGCTATTGCTGAAGCATGCAGGTGCCACACTGAACCTCAGGCAAGCATCCTGTCTGCTGAAGAGGAGTTAAATTTGATAGTTATTGACTGGAGTAACTGTGGTCCTTCTGTCTGTGTGCTTCATCTTATTTCTTCCTTTTTAGTCAGAGTTTGTTTTATGCCAAGTTTCTGAAAGTGAGAAGAGGCTAAGAAGCAAGAAACATGCATGGTCTTTCAAGTCTTCGGAGGAGAGTGTGGAACAGCAAAGTGATAGCATGCTGTATGCCTGGGTCTGAAATAAGTATGCCTGGGGTTCAGATGGGAGCGTACATCTGGGTGTGACATCTCAATCTCCAAGCGAAAAACCCTTTCTTGTAATGGCTGAAGAGAATCTAAGTTTGCATCTGTAGACTAGAGGAAGTGATTACTCAGCATTGTTTTCATGAAAACAATACATGAAACATGAAATTAACACTTCATATTGCTTTCAGACAAAGTTTTTTGAACCATATTTATGTTTTGTAGGGAAGCTAAATCTTTATATTGGAGATAAAGATTCATAGAATATTATTCTAGGATCTGGTATTTTTTGCAAATGTGAATTACTAGCATTTAAAAAAAAACTCCAGAACTTTAATTGTTTATGTTAAGTGTCTTCAACAGGAACGCATATGTAGCTCACAGTGTAATTTTTGTAAGTTTTGGTGCTTCTAAGAGAAACAGGAAGAGATTGGTTCTGTTCTTTGGTGTTAACTGTTCCTTTGGGTCAGACCTTGTTGTCTTCCTCACCGTAGTGGTGTTTTTTCTGTTTGAAATTCATTGTGACTGTATGATTATTATTATTATTGTTATTAAGTTTCCTGTCAGCAAACTGGAATTTAATTAAGCATTGAAATGTAACTGTTGTGTTTTGAGGAAGACCTTTGAAATCCACTGAAGTCAGTTTGAGAATCTATGATTTTAGAGGTCTTTGTCAGGAGCAGGTATGTCCTGTGACTGATGCTTAATTGAGAATTTGTCCAGTGGAAAAGTTCTGTGAACATTTATGTCCAAACAAATTTTGCCTTTGGGAGTATAAAAACAAAAAAGAGAGAACCGAAATATCATCATTTATTTGTTTTTGCAGAAGAGTAGCAGCTCTGAATCCTTGAGTGACAAAGGCTCAGCTGAACTGAAGAAGAGCTTTGATGCAGTGGTATTCGATGTTCTGAAGGTTACACCAGAAGAATATGCGGTAAGCAATTAAAATAGTTTTTATTATTTTGTGTGTGAATAATCTTGGCAACTTTTCCTCTGCTTGGCCATTTCTGTATGGTTTTTGCCTAATTTCTGTCATCCATAGGTGTCAAAAATGGATCCTGCACTATAGTTCTTCACTGTCTATGTTCTATTAAATGTTAAGTGATCTTCTGGGGCTATGCTGTCCAGGCATTTTTCACGCTCTTTTATGTAGCATAGACCAAAGATTCTTAAATCTATATGATACACCTGAACTCTGACATGTATATTTTAGTTGCAACATTACACTTGATCTGTACTTGTTTTTTCTGGAGGTGTTTTATTTTTTAACTCTAGTGATTCTTACATCTAGGAAGTGGTTTCTTCTTTCAGGTGCAGTGGTACAGAATAATGAGTTTGATATCCTGCAGAACCAAGAACAAATGAGTACAAGTTTTTAACAAGAAAATTTGGTGGTTTGGCTGTTTGTTTTTTTTTTTAACCCCGCTTGTAGAGATTAAGACAAGTGATTCAAGTATGTTACTAGAAAGATTGCTAACAGACTGTTGCTCTTACTGCATTTATAACTCAAGTGATGAGATTCGTGGTGATTTGTCCTGGAGAGATTTATTGATACGTGGTGGTATGTATCACAAAATGCTCCCATAAAGTTTGTTTTATTTTTTAATTGTTAATAATGATTTTAGTTAATTATTAATGGCTAAATTGATCTTGAAAATTTAAAGCATCTGGATTATGAAGTGGTACTTACACGTTAAATTCTTCTTGGATAGTTAATGGGACTTATTCCTGACTGAGCTTCGGGCCTCTGCCTTGCTCCGTTGTCAGGAACAGCTGGGCAGTGAATCACCTGCTTTTTGCGGGAAGATGTTTTTGGGGCTGACTATCCTTCCTCTTTTATCTTTGATTTCTCTACATAAAGGAAATCTAAGTACTTGGGGAATTTGGGGCTAGGCACATGAATTCAAGTGGAATTATGCATTCAGGCCAGAGTAGCTCCAGGTTCCTTTGAATGGCTCAGCTATTTAGCCGGCGGTGGATGCTGTTGAGGAGCAGAATAGATCATTTAGACTCTGTGGAGATCTTGTCACTCACTTGGACAGCAAAATACACAAAGGTGCTTTGTCTTGTATCACATTTCATAATCCTTTTGCTCTACTAAATCATGACTCCTGTGCAGAAACCTTTTTACTTTCATGGGTGTTCTAAATGCTACCTACTTAGTAAATCTTGGTTGGATAAAAATCTTTACTAAAATCCAGTGTTTTTACTGTTTTCATACTATGCCTCAAACTGGGCAGAGTTCTACTCACAAACAGGAATCTTTTAATTAAACATTTCACATTGCACTTATGAAACTGTGGTTATATTTTTTGTTTATACTACCTGGTATAATTTTGCTGTTTTCTCGGAGAAAACACTTTTATTCTTAGCCTTCTCCCTTTTAAGGTATCTAGTTCTTTATGTCACGTTTCAGTTATGGATCTGAAATGTCTTATAGATAGAATTCTGAACAGTTGAGCAAAATTGCTGGTAGTCAGCGTTCAGCCCTTTGGCAAGGTTATAATTAATTTCTTTTTCAATGTTTCTGTACACAGCTGTACCTCTTCATTAATGTCTGTTTCCTCAGGCAACTATCTGCTTTTCCAGTAGGGCTTGCTTGCTTTGAATGCTGTCTTTTTTCTGCTCATTCTTGCTAAAGGCTGTAGAAATAAGTAAATTTGCCGAATACTTGGGTACCTTGGAGGAAAAGTACCTTTGCCCCTTATGCTTGTTTTTATTTTACTGGCCATTTCCTCAGTCTTCCTGGTTTTAGTCCTGCAATAACAGAGAAGTACAAAGTCTTCAGCTGAATTTCAGTGCTAATGTGAAGACTACCAGGGCTGTGCAGGATGGACAAGCTCTTGAGAACACCAGCACTGATAAGAATGCAAAACTGTGTTAGTAAGGCTTTTGTTGTAAGAGCGGGTATGTACCTCTTGGACTAGACAAGTTTATGCTACCAATTGCTTTTCGAAGTATGAGAAAACTTCTAGTTTAGTGATAGCTCTTGTAAAATGGATGCAGTGCAGACTGCTGACATCTGTGACTGAGTGAAGGCTGAATTCTGTTACCAACTGCAGAATGAATGCTGCTCTAAAAAAAAAAATTGAAGAGGTGAACTGAGGAAGTGATTTGTGGGCTGTGTAAGTACCTTATTCATAGGGAGAAAAGATAATGTAATAAAGCAAATAAAACAGCAATAAAAGCAAGTTGCTGCACAAGAGCTAATTAGACATCTGTCTAATTAATGGTTAGGAAACCTTGGCTCCAATGAAAAAGGATTGCAGTGCATAGGTAGAGATGAGAGTTAACTGATAACATCAACAGCAGCATTGGGAAGTCTCATCCTGTACCTGATATGATATGTTGCATTTTGACCAAAATGGCTCACTGTGTACAGATGGGACAATTCCAATTATGCTGGATAAAGAAGAGGAAAAATCTGAAAAATAATTAAGTTTAAGAGATAGTGGAAATAGGATTCATGCTAGTGGTTTCAGTACCGATATGAGACACAGATGTCTTTTCAGTTCCCACTGTGTTAGAGACATCATTGTTATTTCAAAACTCGATCTGTTTAGTCAGTTAGTGGGTAAGGGACAAGTTGGACTACAAAAGCTATTGCTTGTAATCCTGTATTTTCAAGAAGCTGCTTACCAAGCCAAAGAGAAGCCCAAGTGTAAATATTTTTGGTGATTGGATTGCCATATTTTTCCCTTTGGCAGCCATCTAATACTATCCGGAGTGCACAGTCAGTGTGCCCCTCTGTGTAACGGTCCTTTGTTCAGTCTTGTGCTAACTCTTCAGCAAAAGTACACTGACCCTTCATTTCCAGGGGATGTATTGAATGCCTGAATGCCTGTATGCTTCATAAATTTGGGGGAAAAAGAATCCCATTCAATGAGTATGAAGTAGAACACGTTTGTTTTCTGCTGCGGAATCTACAGCTTTCTGACTGTAACTAATAAGGAGACTGTCTCTGTTTTAAATACCTGCTTTTAGGCTGATCAGTGCTCGCTTCTTTATTAAACAGCTCAAAGCCACAAAACAAGTTGGTGCCAGGATTCCCCACTGGTGTCTGGCCCTGCCGATGGAGCCGTTCAGTGTGTGTACAGGGTAGACACGGTTGCTGTGAATGCTGTCCATTTTCGTTGGAGGGAGAAGTGTGGTTTGGAGTGTACAGGGCACAGTTTGTCGGGGAGAGATATGTTAATGGTGCAGTGGCAGTAGAAACTGGGGGCTGGTGAGACTGAAAGGAAAAAAGGAAAATGCTTCGGGGACATGAGCTCCAAATTAAGATGCTGGAGAACCTCAGGTTGAAGAAATATTTGTATTTTTTTTTTTTTTGCTTTACAGTAAATTCTTATTCCTTAGACTGCTACTGTTTAATTATTTGACTGTTTATTACTTTCTGACATGCTTTTCCATTTTATACCTCAACTTAGCCACGGTGGTGTAAATATTTGAGGTAGAATTAAGGGAAGCGCAGCTGTATAAATCCATTGCTTTTTTTCCCCACCTAGTTATCTAAGAAGGATTCTTTATTCTTTGCCTGAGTCTCTGAAAGCACTACAAAGCAAAGCTCACACTAAGATGTTTATGTATTTATTTCTTTTTGATTCCAGTTAAGCTTTGTCAAATGGATGTTGGAAAAAAGAATATTGCTTCTTTTGGAAACAATACACAGATAAAGTTTATTTTAGAAATGTTTAGACAAAACAATGAATTTTTCTCAGAGGCATTCTTACAACAGTTAAATATCAAGTTATCTGTATCTGAAGAAAGAGCACAAGAGTGTGGTTGTTTGTTTTTTTTTTTTTAAAGGAAGTAGGTCCCAAGAGTTCTGGGCTGCATTGTGTGGGTTTGGGAAAAAAAAAAAAGAAGAAAAAAAAAAAGGTGCAGAAATAGGTTTTGAGGTGTTGGGGGTCCCACAAACTAATTTTTTGCCACTTTGAACAGAACAAAAATATCTGAAACTGGCTCAAAGTTCTCCCCAGGAGATCTTTCTCTCGTGCAGGACTCTGGCAGATTCGCAGTCCCCTGTGCGAGTTCCTGCGCAGCTGCTGGTGTGAGCTGTGCTACGCGGTTCCTGGCAGGAGTGTTGGTTTTGGCCTCTCCTGAGGCTGGTTGTTGGTGGGTGAGGGAGTTTGAGGCAGGTCTGTCTGCTGCATCTGAGAACAGTTTGAATAAAGGGCAGTACTGGGCCCTAGGAGCTTTTGATGAGAAAGGACTTCTGCTTCTATGTGTTCCCATTAGCTTTATTTTACAGAAGAATATTAAAGAATAAGTATGCTCCCAGTGTGAGCAAGAAGAAGCACCTTTGTTATAGCGTGTGGAGGAACTATTAATGATAAAAGTTTTGGAGTGACTTTGTGAGAAAACAAGTTGAGTTTCAACACAGGAACTTTAATCCCCCAGCATTCATTTTGGACAGCAGAATTATTCTCCTACTGATGCAGTGCCTAACAGAGGCTTAGCTATTTTTTCAGTGAGGAAAAGTATTCTGGCAGCCTGGAGAGACAGTGCTAAGCCAAGTTGGAAGGCTTAAATATAATTCCTTCTAAAAATTCAGATTAAGGGACAGTTTATGAAGTGATATTTGAACCAACATGGCTTCAAGGAAAATCAGATGATGGCAACATTCTTCAATAACCAAAATGTAGACATGTTATTTTTTTCATTGCAGACAGAAACTTAGTTTTTCTTTTCACAATGAGAGTCTCTGTCCAGGATCTCTATGGGAAGTGCACTGTCCTCACGGTAGCTGCATCATAGGAAAACTTGGAGTACAGCAAGTAGCCTGGCAGAAGGAGGTCATGCTTGAGAAGGTCTAGGGACTAGAAAGGTGGGATTATAGTCCAGATCAAATGGGAATTTTCATATAGGGGCATGGAGAGGAGCTCAATGCAGCAGTGTTAACTGCAAGTAGGAGTTCTTAAGTTACAGGGTTTT